TTAATGAATTGCACCGCGTATGTTGCGCCACATATGTTGCATCATATCTATTGCATCTCATCGATTGCTTACAGCAGAGTGCGCCACACATATTGCAGCTCATAAATGGACTAACGTATTACAGTGTCGCACATATTAATGGACATATGTCGCATCGCATCCTTTGTGGTACATGCTGCATTTTATATGAAAGTGCAAACATGCACCACATGGATCGCGCCACATGTTTTTTCCCAACACGTGTTGCACCACATACAATGCTTAACATCGACTGCTTAACGCACCCGGCACCAAGTATGCATGTATATATGTATGTATATGCACATGTACCTGTAGTGGTATTTGTATACGTTAATGAATATGTATGTGTATATATACATGATTATGGATATGTGTGTGCGTATTCGTATGCATATGTAGATGTATATGCACATGTACATGTCTACGTATTCGTGTGTAGGTAAATGGTTATGTAAGTGCATTCAGGTATGACTGCTTGTATGTACATGTATATGTACATGCATAGGTTTTTGTAAATGTACATGTATACGCATATGCAGAGTCTACATGTATATGTACATGTATATATATACATATCTATATATCTGTATATATAGACACCAGGTATGTGTGTAGGTACATGTATGAATTTATCGAAGGAAGTATGTATACGTATGAGTTTCTGTATGCCCGTATGCATAATCATATGTATATGTACACGTATGTGTACATGTATATGTATATGCATACGTATATGTAGTTGTGTCTGTATTTGTATATATATATATATGTATATGTATATGTATATGTATATGCATATGTTTATGTATATGTATGTGAATATGTATATGCATATGTATATGTGTATGTATGAGTATGTACATACGTTCACCTATATGTATATGTACATGTACACGTGTACAGTGGCTTTGTGTATAAGCATGTTTATATGCACCTAATTTTGTTTGTGCAGGTTTATGTATATTTGTTAGTGTGTACCGTTATACATATGTATGTATGTATACATGTGCACATATAGGTACATACACTTTGTACATGCATCTTGTGTATATGTAAATGTATCTGGACACGTATGTGTATGTGTGTAAATGCTTGTATATGCCTGCGTGTGTGTATATATGTACTTACATGCAGATGTATATGTACATACGCATGCATATTCATATGCATGTGCATGCGTATATATTGACATGTATGTATGTATATATATGGGCATATGTATATGTATAGGTATACTTGTATGCATGTGTATATGTGTATGCGTATATGCTTGCACATGTATATGTATATGCATGTGTATGTGTGTATGTACATGTACATGTATATGTACATGTACATGTACATGTATATGTGTATATATGTGTATATGTGTATGTATTTGTATATGTCGATGCATATGTATTTGTACTTGTATATATATATATATGTATTTGTATATGGATATGTAGATGTCTATGTCTATGCATATGTATATGTATTTGTATAGATATGTGTATAGCTATTCATATACGTATAGGTATATGTATGTGTATGGGTATATGCATGTGCACAGGTGCATGTGTATGTATAGGAATGTGTACATAATATGTATTTGCATCCGTTTATGTACAGGTATACGCATATATATGTATATATATCTATATATGTGTATACATATAGGTATAGGCATAGGTATAGGTATAGGTCTAGGTATAGATATAGGTATAGGTATAGGTATATGTATAGGTATAGGTATAGGTATAGGTAGAGGTATAGGCATAGGCATAGGTATAGGTACAGGTATAGGTATAGGTATAGGTCTATGTATATGTATAGGTATAGGTATAGGTATAGGTATAGGTGTAGGTGTAGGTATAGGTATAGGTATAGGTGTAGGTATAGGTATAGGTATAGGTATAGGTATAGGTATAGGTGTAGGTGTAGGTATACGTGTGTGTATTTACACATACATTTACACACGCATACACTCTAATGGCCTTCGGCCCTTCCCGCCACCGCGCCTGGGTTGTGGGTATGAAGCGTGTTGGATTTTCGGTGGGATCTCGTGGGAGGCCTCTCGGGGGCCTCTTGGATGCAGTTTTTGAGGCCTCTGGGGGGCTGTTTTGGGGCCTCTTCGGGCCTCTTTTGGGCTACTTGGGGCCTCTTGGGGTGTCTTGGGGGCCTCTTTGGGGCCTCTTGTGGCCTCCTGGGCGCCTCTGGGGGTCTCATGGCGGTTTTCTTGGGGCGGAAGGTTCGGAATTTCGGTTCGTGTTCCTTCTCTTGGGCCCTTTGGGGCCGCCTTGGTCGCCACTTGGGCCGTCTTGAGACGCTCATGTGCCTTCTTGGGGCCATCTTCTCGCATGTTGGAGCCTTCTTCGGAGGCCTCTTGGAGGCCTCTTGGCAGCCTGGAGGCTTCTTGGGTTATCTTGAGGCCATCTTGGGCGTCTTCGAGCGATCTTTAGGCGTCTCGCGGCCTTCTTGGGCCGTCTTGGAGGCCGCTCGGGGCCCTCTTGGCCCGTCTTCGGGCCTTTTTAGGCCCGGAAAAGTTATGCGAGAACGCTTCCCGGAGCCCAGGTGGCACGCGGGAAGCCCCCAGTCGATTTCGGAATTGAAGGTCTGGGCTCCGCAACGACTCTGCAGAACTGAGGACAGAGGCTCCAGGGATGAGGCAAAGGAACCGAGGGCGCGCCCAGTCCGTGCCCAGAGGCATGGTGGCGGAAACATCTATATATATATATATATATATATATATATATATATGTATGTCTGTATATATGTGTATACATATATAGGTCTGCAGGTACATATATACATGTATATATATATGTATACATACATATGTATGTATACACATGCGTATGTGCACAGGCGTGTATATAGGTATGTTCATATGTATGCATGCGTGATGTAGGCATGTAGGTGTTGATGCATGCATGTATGTATGCGTACATGCCTGCATGTACGTATGTATGCATGTCCATACATGCATACATACACATATACACGTATACATAAGGTCGATGAGCATATGTAGTATCACATTTATTGCATCACGTTGACCTCTTCATAAATATTGCCTTACGCAGCTTGCACGACATTGATTTTGCTTTGTAGAAGAATATTTGGATTTCCCCCCGGACTTAACGGGCCCCACTTTCGTATTGCAATTGACGTATGATCCTTCCCCATTGTCCATCTTGAATGCGAGGTCGTACCTTTCCAGTTAAACTGATATCCCCTCCGCATCCTTTGCAACAACTGCCATGCGCGCGCACTCGTTAATGACAACTCAGCAGTTCTCAATAATTCCTCAAACACGTGGAACGAAGTGCACGCGCGTGCGTCGTCGCGAACGCATGCCGAAATCCTTGAAGCAATCTTAGGTTTCGTAAGGATGTCGAAATCGAATGCCCCTTTTTTTCAAAAGCCACATGGTTCTCAACAGGAATTGTCAAAACAACCTTGCGATCGGGCTCTTGCGGATTCTCAAGGAAGCCGTTGTGATTCCCAACATGTTCATACGTTGCTACCAAGCGGGCCCCTCGCGCGCATATGTCGGAATCGCTCGAACGCCCTTGCGCGTGTGCTGTCGCAAGAACCCCTTGCAACAAGTGGGAAGAAGTGCACGCGCGTGCGTCGTCTCGCGCGAATGACGAAATCCTGCAAGAACCATATGTTTATGTTTCGTACGGGCTTCAAACTCGCGCTCCTGCGAATCCCTGAGGACACCAAGGGTTTGTCAACATTCTCATTCCATTCGGCCAGACGGGCCCGTCGCGCCGCACGTCGGAATCTTCCGAGCTCCCTTGCGCGCGTGCTGGGAGGGGACACGGTCCGTGCCAAATCACAGTGCGCGGGCCATCCTCGCGCGTCGGCCGCGCGCGCACCTCGACCTCCCTCCCAAACTTTCATCACCGACGCGAAGGCGCCGTCATCGTCGTCGGCGTGATCAGCATCGGCGCCGTCACTGGCCTTGCCGTCGTCGTTGTCATCATCGTCATCAGCATCGCTACCGTCATCATCGCGTCCACCGTCGTCGACGTTGCAATGCCACCGCGCCCGCCCAAGTCGCCGACTCGCACCGTACTGCCCGCTGGGAAGTGCCCAGCTGTCAGCGCCACCGCGGCCGCGTCGGTCGCGCCAAATTATGTGGTCGCTGCGCGCGCGAGCATGCGCGGGCCAGCGAGGCCGCAGAGATGCACCAGCCAACTCCGAGCATGCATCGCAATCGTCGCCGCATGGGTTCTGCAAACCAACTTGCGGGTGGGTGGGTGGGATGATTGCGCGAACAGTGGAATGGACAACTCAGTGCAAACAAAAAGTGATTGCACCACGTAGATTTCGGCCCATTTTGCATTGCACAGATGGCAGGAAATCGTGGACTGGGGTCCACGCTGGCTGACATACATACGTAAATCAGTAAGTGCGTATATATCTGGATGTGTTTAGGGGGATCCTCGGGGCGGCTCCCTCGCCGACGCGGCTGGGACGGTGTCCAGTCGAGAAGCGCCAGCGATATAGCGCGACTTGCCTCAAGAGTGCCGCGTGGAACCGCTGGGGCTGACGTGCAGCTGCTGCGAGTTCCGAGGAATCGGGGTCATCGGCCGCTCACGAAGCTGTTCGCAGAGCTTGTTCGTGTTCTTGGCCTTCGAGAAGCAGACCCATGCGCCAGTTGATATGCGCGAGTGGTCGTGAACACGAATGGACAAGCGTGGATGGTGACCGCCGCCCTGCCACTGGTCGGCACCGTGTTTTTTTCTCGCGCCTCGGTCTTGGTCAGTGTACAGGGTTTCGGGGATGGATGGTCTGATTCACCGCGAATGTCTGGATCGGATTTTTGTCGGTAGCACGCTACACGAGGCACACATTGAGCGAGCATGTTTGCAGGGTACAGTGGTACGCCTGCGTGGTGTGTATTGAGATGCGCGTCGCAGTGTTTCGAACACAGGATTCGCCGCACTGGTCGCGGCGGGCGCCCCACTTCGCCGGCCTGGGCCGAGGTGAACGGCAAATTCGTCGTCGCCAACGACATGCCCAAGCGGGATATCGCCCCCGCTGCGCAGGTTGAGGAGGATGACGATGAAGAAGAGGAGGAGGACGAGGAGGAGGAGGAGGAGGAGAAAGAGGAGGAGGAGGATGAGGAGGAAAGGGATGAGGAGGGGGAGCAGGAGGCGTAGGAGGAGGAGGAGGAGGAGGAGGAGGAGGAGGAGGAGGAGGAGGAGGAGGAGGAGGAGGAGGAGGAGAGGAGAGGACGAGGAGGAGGATGAGGATGAGGAGGAGGAGGATGAGAGGGAGGAGGAGGAGGAGGAAAAAGAGGAGGAAGGGGAGGAGGAGGGGGAGCAGGAGGCGGATGAGGAGGAGGAGGATGAGGAAGAGGAGGAGGAGGAAGAGGACTAGGAGGAGGAGGAGGAGGGAGGAAGAGGAGGAGGAGGACGAGGACGACGAGGAGGAGGAGGATGAGAAGGAGTAGGAGGAAGAGGAGGAGGAGGAAATGGAGGACGAGGAGGAGGAGGAAAGGGAGGAGGAGGGGGAGCAGGAGGCGGAGGAGGAGGAGGAGGAAGAGGACTAGGAGGAGGATGAGGAGGAGCAGGAGGAGGAGGAGGGAAGGGAGGAGGAGGAGGAAGAGGAGGAGGAACCGTCTCTGGTGGGAGGCTTCAAATACCGCGGCAGTGGACACGATTACGTACAGCGACAGAGAGCCCGTTTATTGCACGCATTTCCTGGCACGTGATACTCATTGGGAAGACGTTTTTTGTGATCTGCGAGGCGAGGACTGGCGGACTTGGCGGGATGGATGCTCATCGCAAGCTGAGTGGATGCGAATGTTTGGCGCGTTCGCGGCCGACGCGTGCGCCAAGTACGGGCTTCCTCAACCGGCTCCAGCTGCGGGCACGCTGGATGGCACGCCCAACGCTGCGAGGAGCGAATCCAGCATAGCCAACGTTGCAGAACGTCCCGGAGAACCACGTCGCAGCCGGTTCGGACTGTGAGGGCTTTCAGTGGGAAGGTCCCGAGGGACGTTCTCTTACTTGTCTGTGATTGCAAGCCGTTGGTGGATTTTGCTATGGGCACGTGTCCGCTCGCAGACATGTCCTGGCAACCATCGTTCAGAAGATTGACGCGCAGTTTAGCGAATGTGATTTTGAAAGGCATGCAGCCCCGTCGTTCCCACGGAGAAACGGCACTCTGGCGGAAGAGGGATTGTAACAAGATCGCAGACCACTTGGTTAATGTGACCATGGATGCGCAGAGCTCGTGGGAAGAAGTATACCCGCCAAGCGATTTCACCTTGAACCTCATCCACGCCAACTATGCAATGCACTGTGATGGTGGCACTCCCGCATCGCAGTGTTCTGCTTTGGCTTGGGTCTTGGAAGCACATGTTGATACAGAGCATGGGGTTGAGGTCATTCTCTTGGGCCGGAAGAGTATATACATGGCTAGCCCAATATCTTCTTTCACGGCGGAGCTTCTTGCATTGGAGAGTTGTGCCACGGCATTTAAACTATTTTGGACGACGCTCGTGCGGAACATTATGCGTTGAAGGGGCAATCGTGCAACTTTCATTTGGAAGGCCATCCTACACTGGATCTGAGCTGCGCCGAAAGAAAGAAAGGAGGAGGAGGAGCAGGACGAGGAGGAGGACGAGGAGGAGGAGGAAGAGGAGGAGGAGGAAGAGGAGCAGGTGGATGAGGAGGAGGAGGAGAAGGAAAAGGAGAAGGAGAAGGAAAAGGAGGACGAGGAGGAGGAGGAAGAGGAGGAGGATGATGACAATGATGAAGGTGATGATAATGATGCTGATGCCTATGAAGAAGGTGATGATGACGATGGTGATGATGATGATGACGATGATGATGATGATGACGATGATGATGATGTTGATAAATATGACTGTGATGATGACTATTATGCTGATGATGACGATGATGATACATACGATAATGATGTTCGGTGGTGGTTATTATTATTGTTGTTGTTGTTGTTGATGTTGTTGAACATTATTAATTCTAAAGAATAATTATTGTTGGGACCCCTGGTGCACGGCCCCCCTGCGCCGCCTAGGCCGCAGCTACATTTTCATCATTTTCGTGAGGAAGCCTCAGGTAATTCGATGTGATCAAGATCCGGTTGTTTTGTTGTAATCCGCTTTCCCTTGCAAAAAACACTATAAAATGACATTTCTTGTTCTAATATAATCAAATTTCAAGAATCCCTTGCAAAAAATAAGGTAAAGTGGACATTCGCGCGCGCAAGACGAAATCCTTCCAAAAGCTTAGTGTTCGGAGCGATTTTAACATAAAAACATCAAAAAACCAATGGTTTTTCAACAAAAAAATGTCAAAATCTCATCCCGCGCGCTCTTGCGGATTCGTAGGAAACCAACACTTTTTAAACATTTCTGTCAAACGGGCTTTTGCGAGCAACTTTTTCGAACTTCTGCGACAACGGTTGCGCACCTGCCAGGGCCATCATCCCTGTCAAATAATACCATGCGGGACACATTCGTTTTTTCTTCGCGCGCGCACGCCGTCGTCGTCGGCCGCGGGGCCCTGAATAGTAGCCACGGTCGTCCGCATGCCACGAAGTGAAGTGTCCGAACGTCATAGGGCGGGAAGCTGGGTGTGGGTGGTGGCGAAGAGTCGTTTGGAAATTTGGTAGAGCTTGAACCGGCCCCCCCACAAAGTGGGGGTATTGCCCGCCTCCTATGAAAACCCTGGCACTGGTGAGAACGGAGTGTCCCCACGTGCTAGTAATTGTTGTTGTTGTTGTTGTTGTTGTTGTTGTTGTTGTGGTTGTTGTTTTTCTTTGTTGCTGTTGTTGTAGTTGTTGTTTTGATGGTTTATTTTAGTTGTTTGTTTCGTTGTGGTTGTTGTAGTAGTAGTAGTAGTAGTAGTAGTAGTTGTTGTTGTTGTTGTTGTTGTTGTTGTTGTTGTTGTTGAACATTATTACTTCTAAAGAATAATTATTGTTGGGGCCCCTGGTGCACGACCCCCCCGCCGCGCCTAGGCCGCAGCCTCATTTTCATCATTTTCGTGAGGAAGTCTCAGGCAAAACGGGTTGGTCCGGATCCGGTTGTGTTGTTACGATCGGTTTTCCCTTGCAAAAAATAAGCTAAAGTGGACATTTCTTGTTCTAACATAACCAAACTTCAAGAATCCCTTGCAAAAAATAAGGTAAAGTGGACATTCGCGCGCGCAAGACGAAATCCTTCCAAAACCTTAGTTTTCGTAGCGATTTTAACATAAAAACATCAAAAAACCAATGGTTTTTCAAAAAAAAATGTCAAAATTTCATCCCGCGCGCTCTTGCGGATTCGTAGGAAACCCAACACTTTTTAATCATTTCTGTCAAACGGGCTTTTGCGAGCAACTTTTTCGAACTTCTGCAACAACGGTTGCGCACCTGCCAGGGCCATCATCCCTGTCAAATAATACCATGCGGGACACATTCGTTTTTTCTTCGCGCGCGCACGCCGTCGTCGTCGGCCGCGGGGCCCTGAATAGTAGCCACGGTCGTCCGCATGCCACGAAGTGAAGTGTCCGAACGTCATAGGGCGGGAAGCTGGGTGTGGGTGGTGGCGAAGAGTCGTTTGGACATTTGGTAGAGCTTGAACCGGCCCCCCCACAAAGTGGGGGTATTGCCCGCCTCCTATGAAAACCCTGGCACTGGTGAGAACGGTGTGTCCCCACGTGCTAGTAATTGTTGTTGTTGTTGTTGTTGTTGTAGTTAAATTCTGAGTTCAGAAGAATAATTATTGTTGATCCCCCCCACCGGTGCATACTGTTTTTTCTCAATCAAAGTGTGCCCCTCGACGCTCGCACCCTGTTTTTTGACAGGGAAACTCTTCCTGCTCAAAGTGGGCCCCTGGCCCCCGGGTTACAACAACAACGGCTCCCGCTTGAGACTTCCTTCAATTTAGGCAGGACCCCCGCTCCCGCCCGAGACTTCCTCGCATTTTATTCAGGAATCGCGCTCTCGCTTGGGACTTCCTAACAATTTATTCAGGAATCGCTCTCCCAGCGCTCTGGAGTCGCGCTCTCGCTGGAGACTTGCTTGCAACTTACTGAAGAATAGCCTTGCGTTGGAATTTCCTGCAATTTGCCCAAGCGCTGCGCTCCCGACACCCAGGCACCCAGGAGTCGCGCCCGTTGTGGCCCCACGTGCATGCCCTTCGTGGCCCCGCTGTCGCCATTTGTGTCCCCCTCATTGTCCTACGTGGCCCAGCTGCTACCCTCAGTGGCCTACTTAGTGCCCTTCGTGGCCCTGGTGTCGTTCTCTCTCGCTCTCGCTTTCGCTCGTCGTCGTCGTCGCCGTCGTCTTCGTCGTCGTCGTCGTCGTCGTCGTAGTCGTCGTCTTGGTCGGTCCCCTGTCCGTCCCTCTTGGGATCGGGTCGACGGTCCGCGGCCGCCCCGCCGATCAGCGCTGCCGCTGGCCAGGCCGACGGTCCGCGGCCGCCCCGCCGCTTGCCGGGGCCCAGCCTGCAGGGAAGAAAGGTATACCCCCCAAAAGGGGTTCGATCGAAGACGAAGAGGGCGGGTATCGAGGGTTTGGGAAATACGCGTTATTGGACACTCGAGCATACAAGGGCGAACAGTCTTAAGATGATTGTTGTTGTTGTTGTTGTTGTTGTTGTTGTTGTTGTTGTTGAACATTATTACTTCTAAAGAATAATTATTGTTGGGACCCCTGGTGCACGACCCCCCCGCCGCGCCTAGGCCGCAGCCACATTTTCATCATTTTCGTGAGGAAGTCTCAGACAAAACGGGTTGGTCTGGATCCGGTTGTTTTGTTACGGCCCGCTTTCCCTTGCAAAAAATCAGCTAAAGTGGACATTTCTTGTTCCAACATAACCAAACTTCAAGAATCCCTTGCAAAAAATAAGGTAAAGTGGACATTCGCGCGCGCAAGACGAAATCCTTCCAAAACCTTAGTTTTCGTAGCGATTTTAACATACAAACATCAAAAAACCAATGGTTTTTCAAAAAAAAAATGTCAAAATTTCATCCCGCGCGCTCTTGCGGATTCGTAGGAAACCCAACACTTTTTAAACATTTCTGTCAAACGGGCTTTTGCGAGCAACTTTTTCGAACTTCTGCAACAACGGTTGCGCACCTGCCAGGGCCATCATCCCTGTCAAATAATACCATGCGGGACACATTCGTTTTTTCTTCGCGCGCGCACGCCGTCGTCGTCGGCCGCGGGGCCCTGAATAGTAGCCACGGTCGTCCGCATGCCACGAAGTGAAGTGTCCGAACGTCATAGGGCGGGAAGCTGGGTGTGGGTGGTGGCGAAGAGTCGTTTGGAAATTTGGTAGAGCTTGAACCGGCCCCCCCACAAAGTGGGGGTATTGCCCGCCTCCTATGAAAACCCTGGCACTGGTGAGAACGGAGTGTCCCCACGTGCTAGTAATTGTTGTTGTTGTTGTTGAACATTATTTATTCTAAAGAATAATTATTGTTGGGCCCCCTGGTGCGCGCCCCCCCTGCGCCGCCTAGGCCGCAGCTACATTTTCATCATTTTCGTGAGGAAGCCTCAGAAAAGAGGGTGTGTACAGGATCCGGTTGTTTTGTTGTAATCCGCTTTCCCTTGCAAAAAACAATAGAAAATGACATTTCTTGTTCTAATATAATCAAATTTCAAGAATCCCTTGCAAAAAATAAGGTAAAGTGGACATTCGCGCGCGCAAGACGAAATCCTTCCAAAACCTTAGTGTTCGCAGCGATTTTAACATAAAAACATCAAAAAACCAATGGTTTTTCAACAAAAAATTGTCAAAATCTCATCCCGCGCGCTCTTGCGGATTCGTAGGAAACCCAACACTTTTTAAACATTTCTGTCAAACGGGCTTTTGCGAGCAACTTTTTCGAACTTCTGCGACAACGGTTGCGCACCTGCCAGGGCCATCATCCCTGTCAAATAATACCATGCGGGACACATTCGTTTTTTCTTCGCGCGCGCACGCCGAAATCTCCAAAAACCGTATCATGTGTATCATGTGTATCATGTACCATATGCATCATATGCAACAGATGTTCTGTGGAAGGCTTAACAACTTCTGTGGGTTAACAAGGCTTAACAACTTCTGTGGGTGTACGAACGTAGGCTTAACAACTTCTGTGGGTGTGTACTCCACGCCAGTGTAGTAGCCACGGTCGTCCGCAGGCCACGAAGTGAAGTGTCCGAACGTCATAGGGCGGGAAGCTGGGTGTGGGTGGTGGCGAAGAGTCGTGTGGATATTTGGTAGAGCTTGCACTGCCCCCCCACAAAGTGGGGGTATTGGCTGGCGTCGCATGAAAACCCTGGCACTGGTGAGAACACTGAGCGTTCGGGTAAAGTGATTGTTGTTGTTGTTGTTGTTGTTGTTGTTGTTGTTGAATTCCCATTCCGGAGGAATAATTACGGTTGATCCCCCCACCGGTGCATATTCTTTTTTCTCGAACAAAGTGTGCCCCTCGACGCTCGCACCCTGTTTTTTGACAGGGAAAGTCTTCCTGCCCAAACTGGCTCCCTGGCCCCCGGGTTACCACAACAACGGCTCCCGCCTGAGACTTCCTTACAGTAGGACCCCCGCTCCCGCCCGAGATTTCTTTGCATTTCATTCAGGAATCGCTCTCCCGGCGCTCTGGAGTCGCGCTCTCGCTGGAGACTCGCTTGCAACTTACTGAAGAATGGCCTTGTCTTGGAATTTCTTGCAATTTGCCCAAGCGCCGCGCTCCCGACACCCAGGCACCCAGGAGTCGCGCCCGTTGTGGCCCCACGTGCATGCCCTTCGTGGCCCCGCTGTCGCCATTTGTGTCCCCCTCACTGTCCTACGTGGCCCAGTTGCTACCCTCCGTGGCCCCATAGTTGCCTTTTGTGGCCCCGCATTATCTGCATTTCGTGGCCCCCGCTCGTTCGCGCTCTTCGTGGTCCCATACGCATTCCCTTCGTGTCCCCGCTGTCGCCCTTCGTGGCCTACTTCGTGCCCTTCGTGGCCCTGAAGTCGTTCTCTCTCGCTCTCGCTTTCGCTCGTCGTCGCCGTCGCCGTCGCCGTCGCCGTCGCCGTCGCCGTCGCCGTCGCCGTCGTCGTCGTCGTCGTCGTCGTCGTCGTCGTCGTCGTCGTCGTCGTGGTCGGTCCCCTGTCCGTCCCTCTTTGGGTCGGGTGGACCGTCCGCGGCCGCCCCGCCGATCAGCGCTGCCGCTGGCCAGTCCGACGGTCCGCGGCCGCCCCGCCGCTTGCCGGGGCCCGGCCTGCAGGGAAGAAAGGTATACCCCCCAAAAGGGGTTCGATCGAAGACGAAGAGGGCGGGTATCGAGGGTTTGGGAAATACGCGTTATTGAACACTCGAGCATACAAGGGCGAACAGTCTTAGAATTGTTGTTGTTGTTGTTGTTGTTGTTGTTGTTGTTGTTGTTGTTGTTGTTGTTGATTTTTTTTTGAAACGCATATTTTCTGCTGACCCCCCCCGTCTGGTAACCATTGCATTCTCAACGAAAGCGCTTCTCCCAGGACTTGCACCCTGTTTTCTACACGGGGAAGAAAGGTTGGGGGCCACCACAAAAATGATGCACGCCGCCGCGTGTGTGCCAGTACGCACGGAATCGTGCATCGAGCGGCGGCTCTTGTGCACGGTCGGTGTCGTCCGCAGCAAGTCGACCGAAGACCAAACGACACCACCCCACCTACGGCCCTCCATGCTGCGCTACGGCCCATCGGGCGCCGCAGCGTACATCACGCAAGAACCCGCGCCAGATTTCCTGATATACGCTAAGGCCCCTGGTGCCGTAGATGGGGTGGTGTCGTTTGTTTTCTGGTCCAGCAGGACCTGGCCAACCCGAAGACCCTGACGCTCGCCCGGTCGCGCGTGCAGACCGAGGGCGAGCCCGCCGGTGCCGGTGCGGCCCCCAGCGGGCGGCGCGCGGGCCAGTCGGCCGCCTTGCCTCGGAGGGTGCGACAGCAGCGAACACTTCAAGCCCGTGCAGCCTCGACGCGGCGGCGGCGCCAGCGCGGGCGCCGAAGGTTGAATGCTACCGGCGCTTAGGCAATGCCGTTAGAGGAGGAACAGGTACCCATACCTCTACCCCCTCGCCCGTTTTCCCGTTTTTCGGCCTCGTGTGAGGCCCTCGTCGCCACCGCTGGATTCGCCTCGAAATCCTGGTCAGAACGCACCCCGCGAGAGGTCCGGGGAGTAGCGGTATGGGTACCTTCTGGTCTCCCCATGCCGGACTCGGCTGCTCTCCGCTGTCGGCTGCCATGCATCGTTCCAGGTGGAGCCATCTGCGCGGCGTCAGATGCCAACGACCGCGTGGGCAGGGACGGGGGCCCGCCTGCAGCCCAGGAGTGCCATCACGCACGTGCTCGTTTTCGAGCCTAGCCTTGTCGATAGGCCATGCGGTCGAAGCCCCCGGGTGCGTGTGATCCCCCCCCCCCTCCTTGCCCCTGGGCCGTCGGATCCTCGGGCCCGTGGGTCTACAAAAAGAAGCCCGTGGGCAAGGCCAGGGCCGGACAGCTGCGATCTGGCGACGTGCCTTCCGGTACCCGGCATGTTCGTGCCGCGCTGACGCGGCGGCGACCCCAGCGCGGGTTCTCGTTGGAGGGGCCGCCGTCGTCGTCGTCGTCGTCGTCGTCGTCGTCGTCGTCGTCGTCGTCGTCGTCGTGGTCGTGGTCGTCGTCGTCGTCGTCGTCGTCGTCGTCGTCGTCGTCTGCGGACGAACGCCGCCGATGGCCCAGGCTTGGCCGACGTCGGGATGATCTGCGCTGTCGGAGCAGCCGCGCTCGTTCAAGGATGAAGGACTTGCGCGGGATCAGGAAGCAACGCCGACGTCGTCGCGTCGTGAGCCTGCAGGAGAGCTGCAGCTGGGCGACAGTCCTGATGCCACACGGAACGCCGAGGCACCTCGGACACCGCCTGAGAGCTTCAGGTCGGGGCGATGACTGGGGAGAGTAGCCCAGGGTGGGCATTACACGTATCCGCCCGCGAGCCTTGTCGGACATACGGGCGGCCGGAGCGCCTGAATACATATAATGTTCCTTCCTGGGCTATCCGCCCTGGTGCAGCCGCCGACCAGGGAGCCGAGTTCCGAAGGGGAAGGGGAAGCATTGAAATCGTGGCATGGCCCCGTTCCCACTGTTCGGAGGTCGGCGGGCACCCGAGCGGCAGCCGCCGAGGCGCGCTGTCGGCGGGGCTGGCCTCCGAGGCGGCGGTGGCCGCGATCAGGACGCCGCGTCTTCCATCTCTTCCAGCTCTCTTGGCACCTCCACGCGAAGATGATAATGCACCCGGCGTGACCCCAATGAGAGGAGAGCCTACTGCATAGGCGCATCGCTGGGCGCATCGCTTGGCATTGCTTGGCATGGGTTGGCATTGCTTGGCATTGCTTGAATTGCTTGGCATTCGTTGGCATTGCTTGGCCTTGCTTTGCATTTGTTTGGCATTGCTTGGCATTGCTTGGCATTGCTTGGCATTGCTTGGCATTGCTTGCCATTGCTTGCCATTGCTTGCCATTGCTTGCCATTGCTTGGCATGGGTTGGCATGGGTTGGCATGGGTTGGCATGAGTTGGCATTGCTTGGCATTGCTTCGCATTGCCGAGGAACCCGGGGAACCCTAGGAACCCGGGCGACCCAGGTAACCCGAGGAACCCAAGGAACCCAAGGAACCCGAGGAATCCGAGGGACCCGAGGATACTGAGGAATTCGAGGAACCCAAGGAACCCGAGGAGCCCTAGGAACCCGGGGATCCCGAGGATCTCGAGGAACCCGAGGAAGCCGAGGAACCCGAGGAATCTTCGGGGAACGGGCGACGTGCCTTTGCACTATTCTTCTTGACCAAGTAAGAACCCCTCAGGCAAGCCTGATGGGGGAAAAACGGCATAAGCTTCTGAGTCGGCGGGCGCAGAAGAGTGCGAAAGCGGTCAAGCGAGCGCTGGTCAGATTGCGGGCGGGGCACGCCAGGAGCTCATCGAGGCACGGCAAGGAGAAAGGGGGAGAGAAGAGAACGGCGACAGGGCGAACGGCGGAAGAGAGCGGCGACAGGGCGAATGGCATAAGCACACCAGGAAGCTGGATACACATGACGCGGGCGGCCTGGCCGAGCTGGCTCCACACGGGGCCACGCCTTCCCGGCGCTCGGGCCCCTGTGAGGCGAGGCGCGCTGGCCCTCCGCATGCGCATCTTGCGCAGGGGCCTCCAGGTGTTTCGCGTTCCGCACGGGAGAGTTTGGCCTCGTGTCTGTCTCCAGCTTCCAGGCCAACCTCTGGTGGCCTGCGTGAGTGTCCTGGGTCTTGCGTTGGCCCCCCCCCCGCACCCCGGGGCGGCGCCAGTCCGCCGCGCCATGGCGGGGGCGTCGGGATTGGCGGAGCCGGCACCGAGCGGGCCCCTGAGAGCTTGTGCTTGTCGTAGACGCGCTGACCATTCAGCACGAGCCCGTCGCTGAGCTTTGTGTTTCGTTGTGTCGTCTCTCAGTGGATGGCACTTCCGCGATATCATATGATATCATAGACGCGGCAACCAGTCAACGCAAGCCAGTCACTGAGCCTGTGTTTTTCCAGGCTTTCTCATTGAGCCTGCTATTTACGCTGTCTGTGCTGACCGACTGGCGCGCGTTCGAGTTCATGGTGCTTCTGTTCTTCTATCCTCCTGCTACTGCTACTGCTCGTCGCGCGCATGAGGTTCGTTCTGACAGCTTCAGGGGTGTACCTCGAAACAGCCCTGAGTAAACACGCTGTACAGACATGCTGCACTGCTAGGCCATCCTCTGCTCGGCTCACTTCGTTGCAGGCGATTGCAGGTCCGCTTGGAGAGTTTTTGTGTCCGCAGGTTGGCGCTGATGAGCTGGCCCCGTATGGTGGCGAGGGGCACACATGGCTTCCAGGGATCTGAGAACGCACACGCAGCCACTGCCGCATGTGCATCATGTTCCTGAGGGGGCCGTTTGGCAATCAGGGGAGAAGAAGTTCATGCGCATGCCGCACGAATTCAGCTACAGCGCTGTCGGACTCGTGGATGAGAGGCAGTGGGTGGAGGATGGCGGTGACTGATGCCTCGAGTGCATCATGACTTTGGATTCTAGAGTTAGGCGTGTGCCACCGTGAGTTTAGCCGTGGCCCAGGCCCCGACATTCTCCTTGGCCAGGGCTCTGAGGAAGAATGCTCGCGGATGGTAGTCCGTAATTCCTCTTTCACCAGGCCGCTGATTACGTGGTGGAACTCTAGCAAGCTGATCCCTTTGGCGCTCACCCAGCCATGAGGTCATGTGTGCAAGATCACGGGTTAAGTGGCAGTTGGTTTGCCGTTTGCCCAGGATGGTCATAACATGTGGCATCGTTTTTTGGGCCTCTCAGGTGCCTGCTGGTAGGCTCCCTGGGAGCCTCTTTGGACCTCCTGGGAGCCTACTGTTTTTTTTCGACCTCTTCCTCTGCTTGTCGGCTTAGCGCATCCCAAGTGGAACTGCTGGCACGACTGCAGCCTAGAGAGGGTCAGTTTTTCGGGCTCGGGAGAGTAACATGACGGGCGATGGCAAATTTGGGGAGGCCTGCCACCGACTTTCGCAGCGTTTCTTGATATACAGGTGTGCAGTAGTCTGACTTCCGCGGGCTGGTGTGCCCGATATTTCAGAACGGCCAACAGGAACATGCCATTCTTCTTCACCCTCGAAAGCGCAAATCTTGAGCGGTGGAATTCCACTCCCAGCATAATCCTTTGGCTAACGCTAGTGTTGACGGAAGCAAAGCACACCGTCAGAGGTCCAGGGGCGACCAGCGTGTCGGTGTGCTGATTCGGAACGGTTCCTCGTGCTTCTGCTCCTCGGTCCTCGTCTCCGTATCCCTCATCTTGTTGCACGTCCCGTCTCAGGAGAGGATCCAGAGTTCCGGAGACAGGCTTGGTGTGTGCCGTGAACCTCGTGACGCCGGTACGCGCTGGGAGGAGGAGGAGAAGGAGGAGGCGGTGGAGAGGGTGGAGGAGGAGAGTCGATTGCGAGAGCTTCTGGCCTCAGGGACGAGAAGCAAGGAAGAAGTTGGTTGACGCTGGGCGTATCCTCAGCAGCTCATCCAGGGATGCTCCCCGGGCCAGTTGCCTTGATCCGGGAAGTGTGGGAGCATGCGGCGGAGCAAGGAGGGGGGGAGCCTGGGCAGACGTCCGACGCCTGGAGCATGTAGACCGTGGCAGTGGGCAGTGTAGGGCTCCGCCCGGGATGGAAACTGTCGATGGTGGATGAGGGGCACGCGGACAACACATCAGTTGCATTGCTCACATTCTGAGGCCTTCACATATTTAGTCCGAGTTCATTGGCAGTGTTTCAATGGATAGACTCGGACGGCGCACACACAACAGTGAACCCTCAACCGTTCCGTGGTCATGTTCTGCCGCCAGTGCTTCCGATATGCATACATACATTTACCATGTAAACGCATTGTGTAAGATGCTGCAAAAGACGCGTCACGTTTGTTCATTTCAAGTTTACACTCGCTTTACGCCTGCGTGGCCGCCTCGACATACAACCAGACACGCGCGCACTCACACACGAGACACAACACACAGCCTGCACATCATACGCGCACACAGCACACAATAAATTCTGCTTGCGCAAACACGTGTTTTTGTTATCTAGTGCGCCGATGGGTCGCAGTCGGTGGTTCCCAAGATATGCAGGTGGGACGCGCTCAGCATGAGTTCGCCACCTCGTGTGGGACCGATGCCGCAGCTGAGACCTCAGTCAAGCTGGGCTGCATCGACCGCTGATCAGAGGCGATCCTGCGAATGCGGGGTTAAAAAACAAACATGTACACGAAAACACGCAGAGAGGGCAGACCGCCTTGGGCAAAGTTTGCCTGTCCTTTTGTTCTGCGAGAATGCCCATGGGTGCCCCTACCTTCTTGGGCAGGCGTACGCAGCGTTGAAGAACTTCCAGTACGGCATTGGCAACGCGCTCCTTTTCTTGGAGGAGTCGGGGTCAAGCCTTTGCGTCGCATGTGGAGGCGATGGATATTGCAAAGGCCTTACGGCCGGTGCCGCCGACCCTGAAGGGGAGCGACGACAACGGACGCTGACGTAGGTCAGAGTCCTCATGGATGCTTCTTGGGGTCTCCTCGAAGCGCTCTCGGGGGTTTCGGGGGGACAGTTTAGGGGCCTCTTGGGAGCCTCTTGGGGCCTCTTGGGAGCCGCTTGGGGGCCTCTCGGGGCTTCCTGGGGGCCTCTTGGGGGCCTCTTGGGGGCCTCTTGGGGGCCTCTTGGGGGCCTCTGGAGTCGTCTTGGGGGCCTCTGGGGCCGTCTTGGAGGCGTCCTGGACCGTCTTGGGCCGTCTTGGGCCGTTTTGGGTGCCTTCTGGAGCCCTCGTGTGGCGATCTGGGGAGCGCCTGGAGAGGCCTCTTGGGGCGTCTTGCAGGTCTCTCGGGCCGTCTGGAGGCCGTCAAGGCGTCTTGGACAGATCGTTTTTGGTCCTCTTGGACCGTCTTGGGGGCCTCTCGGGGCACTCTTGGGCCTGTTCTGGGCCCCGGGACCCCGCGGGGGAGAGGCGTATCTGACCCGGGAACCCCCCAGGACCCAACGGGGCCTTCCTGGGACCCCCGCCTCGGAGCCCCCCCCCCTCCCGGCGGGGGAGGGATCAAAGGGAAGGGGCTTACCTCGAGTCAATCACGACGTTGCTCAATTTCGCTTTGGCTGGTGCGCTTGGGGAGGAGGGCCTGGGGAAGGGAGGGGGAGCGGCGACGGGTCCAGCGCTTGAGGAGAAGGGCCCAGGGAAAGGGGGGGAGCGGCGACGGGCCCAGGAAAAGTGGGAACGCAGGGAAAGGGGACGACAGAGACGACGACTAACGAATGACGGAGATGACGACTCGAACGGAGAGGCCCTTCACACACGCCGACAGGGTCGGCGGATTTAATCTATCATTCCTGAGCGTTGTCGCGCATTGCAGCATGTGGGTGCCACGAACTACCTTAGTATATGGAGCAGTGACTTTCTCAGTTTGCACTTGGTTTCATACGTCGCAGACTTTTGTCACCCTTGCTCGCTCTGCCTGCGGACGCGGGGAGGGAGTGGGTGGGAGTGTGAACGAGGCATAGTACGTAGAAGTGCAGCAACAAGTAGGGGTAAAGGATTTTATTGCGATTGCTAGCCAGTGTGCAGCAGTCAGTGGGCACCGCCAATGGAGTGTATGTGACGAGGTCAATAATTCCAAGCGAATAGTTGGAGGCCCCTTCTGTTCACCACGGAAGTTGCCCTCTTCATCAGCTCTTTCCGGTTTCACCGCTTCCCCTTCGTCTTAAATGCAGAGTGCACTTTGTTTCGGTATCGCCACGGTGTCGTCATGTAGGAAAACAACAGGAAATCAACAACAATTCTGCTACTCGCGCCGGCCGATCCCCGAGTTAGTCTCGCCCCCCGCTCTCCGGGGCCCGTCTGCTGCCTCCTTCGCCGCCAGCTGATGCTGTTTCTCGATCCGATCCTGACCCTGGAGCACTGACCCGGCGCTTGTGTCTCTCGCACCCCTACGCCCCACTGACTGCGACCAGCGCGTCGCGGAGCGAGCGCTCGGAGAGGAAGGGTGTGTGTGCTCTACATGGACTTCTGATCCGCTGAGGGGCCTGCCGCGCTCGTCCCATTCGGTGACTTTCTCCGCCTCGTCGCCGCGCCCGATGCCGCAATCGCCAAAAAGTGTGTGTGTGTGTGTGTGTGTGTGTGTGTGTGTGTGTGTGTGTGTGTGTGTGCGTGCGAAGCCCCTCTGCAGGGGGCTTCGATGGGCTTGCCCTCCCATCCGTACCACTTCTCCGCATGGTGTATCGCAGTGGGTCATTGTCAACGAGGTGACACACATCAGATGGAATCAGCTCCTCTACGAGGCTGCTCGCAGCACGCTGTTGAGACCGTGTGTAGACTGTGGCCTTGTTGCGTCGGCGGGCTGAATGTTGCCAGGCTATGCGGAGGATCCCTTGTGAGGAGTGGGTACCTGGACAACGCACTCCGCTCGGCGTCATGTGTAATGCGAAGGAGGGTGAGTGCCACTTTTGCCGTGGTCCACGGTAGTTCCGTCCCAGGCCCCCGCCCATCCACAGGCCGATCAATGTTTTTCCCGCCCAGGGAAGCGAGGCCGATAGAGAGCACAGGGGCGACATCGTGCTGCGATCGGGGGCACGAACTCTTTCTGAGGCCTCGGCCTGGCCCGCACCAATCCTGGGTGAAGCGGGTGTTCTGATGGTCTCACCCTGGCCACACCCATCCGTTCTGGCTGTGGAGCCGGCCTTGGGCGGCTCCCCCCTCCCTGGCGTCGCTGCCTTTCGGCCCCTTCCTGACTCGCTTCCTGCTCTCTCTCCTGTTCTGTCTGCGCCAGTGCCCAGTGCATGTTTTTGTGTAAGAGCATTTGCGTCTCTTGTCCCGCGACTTCGTCGCTAATACTTTGCTGCGCACCACCCATGCGGCCTAGCCGCCATAAGTTTTGGCCTTCTTTACCAGGTGCGTCCGGTGCCTTCTCGCGACTCAGCCGCCTTAAGCGGCGTTGTGCCTTCCGATCGGCTCTGCTGGCAGCCTCGCGATTTCCCCAGGGGGTTTGTCGCGTGTTGTCTGGCTCTCCCTAGGCAGTTGCAGAACGTGCGCGCCGCGGGCTGAGTCTTCGCAGCACGGCGGCACCGCCGTGCTGCCGCCCGAGCAGCTGCGCGTCTCTCGCGCTTTCTGAGTGCTTTCGTGGACGTGTTTGCTGGTCAGGTGTCTCTGCCCGGCTGCGGGGATCTTTCGCGTCTGGCAGGTCCGCTGCTCGGCTTCTGTCTGCTGCCCTGGCCGATCTCTGTCGTGCTTCGGCTCGGCCGCTTGTCGCCTCGCCCGGCGTTGCTCTGTTCGTTTTTTTTGTCTGCGATGGCGGAGATGGCTGTGCGACCGTTTCTCTTTGCATCGGTGCCACCACAGAGGCACAGTCGTTGTTTGTCCTCCTGCATTTTGCTTTGTCTGTTTCGCTCTCGTCTTTCCATAGCGTGTTCCGCGCTGTTGTTTTTCCCTCCTTCCCCTGCTTCCTCTAGGCCGCGTCGCGTCACCCCACCAGTCGGCTGGCCTGGCAGCCTTATAGGCACTTTCTGCTGTCTATCGTTGCTAGATCGACGGTTCCGTTCTCGCTTCCGTCCTCCTCCTCCTCCTCCTCCCTCCTCCTCCCTCAACCTCCTCCTCCTCCTTCTCCTCCTCCTCCTCCTGCACCTCCTCCTCCTCCTCCTCCTCCTCCTCCTCCTCCTCCTCCTCCCCTAGCACCAGAGTGCTCTCGCTTCAGTTCACCCTTGAGGCGAGCGAGCTCGCTCGGACGTGCTCCTCCGTTTTCGGGCCGCTGCACGCGCGCCGGGTTGCAGTCCGTCCCACCCGCCACCTATCCTTGCACGTCAGTGATTGACGTTTCATTCGCTGCGCTTTCGATGATGTTCGATTCGATCGCAATTAGCACTTCATCTGCTGCCCGCACCTGAGAACCCTCTGCGCCGCTGACTTAAAAGTGTGTGTGTGTGTGTGCGTGTATGTGTGTGTGTGTGTGTGTGTGTGCGTGTGTCCTCCTTCTGCCCCTCCCCTCTGTCGTCCCTGCTGGCACCGCCGGGCCAGCCGTCGGCATTCTCGCTTGTTTTCCCAGCCGCCCGCCTTTTTTGCTTTGTTGTCGCTTAAGATCTTTGCCTTCAGGTGTTCACAGGTCAACTGCGTTGCATGTCAAGGAAGCTGATGTGCATCGAGTGTGACCCCCCATCGTTCACCTGCCTGCCGATTGGACTCGTCGGCGCGTCGCAGGAACACAGGGAAAGTGTGTGTGTGTGTGTGTGTGTGTGAGAGATAGAGAGAACAACAAAACACCTATCTTTATGCGCCGCGCCTCCTCGCGCGTAGCCGCGTCGCCAGAGTGTGTGTGTGTGTGGGTAGCACGCTGGTTCTTCGTCCACAAGGCTGAGTGCAGGTAAGCACGTTTGATCGCGCCTGGGTCGAGCCTTCGCGACGGTGCCGTCACCTCGCCGGAGGAGCAAACTTGTTTGTTTGTGTGTGTGTGTGTGTGAGTGTGTGTGAGTGTGTTTGTGTGGGCCGCCAGGCGCCGTGTCCTCCCCCGGGGCCTTGCGGGGGTCCACTCCCCGCACTCGCCGCCTTGGGGCGGGATCGGCGGTCCGTCCCCTCCCCCTTCACCTGTGCCAGGGTTTGAACGCCTTTTTCTGGGTCCTCTGGGCGCGCGGGGGGGCCCTGGCCGTTCTCCTCCGCTCCCCGTCGTGGGGCGGGCAGCTCGGGTCGGGGCTCTCCGTCAGCCCTCTGGGCTCGGCGCCGCGTCGCTGTGTCGCCGCCTGCATCGGCGGGGTAGACGTTGACCCGGTGGCCCGCCCGCGAGTCCGCCGATTCCAGGGTGTCAGGTGTTGCGAACGCTCTCAATTCGTCCTCCTCGTCCCTCTCTTTTCCCGTCATCGTCGTCGTCGTCTCTTCCTCTCCCCGCCGCTATCCCCCTCCCCCCCGAGGCGCGGCTTCTGCGTGTCTTTCTCTGGCCGCCTGGCAAGGTGTTGAAGTTGCTGCCTTCACCCTTGTCCC